GAAGGTGGGACACGGGCGATGGGGGATGGTTTATAGCTGTCTTCTGTGTGTCTCTTAAAAACAAAGAAAAAGAAAAAAGAGAAAAACCTCATGGCGTTTATTTTTAAAGCATTACTAAGTTATGTCTAAGGAAAAAAACGAAGAGGTATATGAATCCATGTGGCAAATGTCCTATTTTGAAGGGGTGGAAGGTGGATGGATTGTCATTTGTATTCAAGTAGAACTCTTACTGACCTTACTAAGAACTGAGCTCGTTAGTTCTCAGACCTAAAAGGCTGATGGCAATATGAAGGAGTTTTTTATACAACTGGCAATGGGCATTTCTGACCTAGCATGTGAGTGAAGCTGGGGTTGGACTGCCATTGATTCATATACTTTCATAGATTATTTTTTTATACCCACAAGTAACATGCAGTAATTCAAGTAAGACTGCCATCGAAGTTGGTAAGATTGTGTGTGTTAGTGAGTTTTGAATCAAAACTTGCATCAGAGCTCAGGCAAAGATTTTGTGTTGTGAACTAGATGGGAAATATTTCTGTCTAAAAGTAACCTCTGAAGTAACATAAGCACATTTTCTCAACCCTATCCTTTATTTATGGCCCAGCCATCAGTAAAAGGACATTTATTGCTGTATACAGCACAACTAAGCAGACTGCTTCTTTGGGGGGGGGGGGGGGGGGGGGGTTGACGCGGTTCCTATTGGTTATATATTTTAGATTACTGCATTTTTGTATACTGTAAAGACAAGCAGGTTTCAGTGAGCAAATCCATCAGTGTGTACTGAGAAGAAAAACAGAAAAATTACTATTATTGATGGAGAACCTTGCAGTGTTTTCTATAAAAATTACTATGATTTTTGTCTTTTTCCTCTGAACAAAAAAATAAATACTATGATTAATTGTGTTCCTGGTGGTAAAAGATTAATGAGTCTAGATGGGGATGCAGCGTGGAACTGAATGGCAGCAGCCCAAAACAAGCTGTGGTGCTTTGTGTACGTCTGTGAGCAGTATGCTGAGCTAACCCTCTCTTCATGGGGAAAATAAAATGAAGCTAACTTCACTTGCAGTCAGGTTTTCTTGGGCATGCTTGTTAAAGTCTTCAATCACTTGTGACTCAAGCCACAAAATTTATAATCAGACCTGAAATTCTGACATGCTTTTATCTAGGGTTTTGGATTGTGTCCATCATAGTAACAAAATAATTAGCCAGTAATATTCATATTTAAAGAAACTGGAAATGAAAATGCATAAATACAATTCAGAAAGGAAAGTAGAATGCAGAAACAGATTGGTATAAATCTGTACCCAATTTACTATTGTTATTTTCTTCTGTTTTTATTCATAGGCTAGAAAGATGAATGTTCTGTATGTGCATGCATGCCTTGAACAATGGTACAGGTTATTGGATAAGGCAAACACCATCTGATATCGTTTATGAAAGATCATAACTAAGAAGAGCAACAATGCAGAACACAGTACCTGGTGATGTTGAGAATAGTATTTTGTGTGTTCTTATCTTGGGGGTCCTTTCCTTGAGGCATTAGGCTGCTTTTCCCTTGGTCTCCAGTTCTACAATTATATCAAAACCACATGCATAAGACATAAACCTGACTTATGAAGGAGAGCAGGGATTGCACAGCTTCAGAACAAAGATTTCCGCAGGATGAAAGCTAATTCTATTCAGAAGCTGAACAGAGGAGGTATCCTTGCCTGTAGAGTTTCCAGATGGCAATGAGATACATTGTACTCGACTCCCTGTCTGCTCACATGAGACAGGGGGAGCGCCTAATGATTTAGAAGGATCTTCGTAAATCAATCCAGAGAACAGACATCCTTGGCACCTGTTCTGCTTAAGTTGTCCCTTTGAATCATGACTGCGTCAGACTTGGCATTTAGCAGGAATTTTCCATGTTTTCATTTTGAGGAATATGTTTCATCCCAGGACTTGACACAGCATGTCTCTGTACAGGAAAGTCCGTGAGGTATGAATCTTCATCATTCAAAGTCAGACTGTTAAGCAGTGCTTTGTGTTATCCAGGGATGAGCCAGCACAGTCCTACTGGGATGGTAGTGCTTAGTAACTCGTCCGTGCCCCTGCTGGCTGTGGGATTCATCTTTTCCTCAGTGTATGATAAAAGAATTGTTATTTTAAATACTTTTGTAAATGTGTATCTCTTTTCTCAAAGGATTCTCATTTCAGGATCCTACTATTTTAATGTAGTTAGTTCAATACATTTCGTACATGTCAGTGGTCAGGTAGATGGTTTTGCAGGGAAAACAGAGGATGTGAGGGCTTGATTAAGGAAGCAATGTGAGAGATTTTTATCCTAACCTGGTCTTTAACCTTTGAGAAAAGCTGAAGATGCACAGAAGGTGGGAACTCTGTGGGAGCAGGTACTAAGCCTGAGTCAGGATCACACCCATTAGTAGTTAAACTTCGGTGAGCTTAATACCTTGACATCAGGGAAAGGACCAGATCTGAAGTTGTCCTGAAGCAATATGTGTGTTTTCCACATTCATTTGAATTCTACAAAGTATCGTAAAGGGGACTGTCAGGAAGGACCTAGGATGAGAAAAAGAAAAATGTGATTCTTCAGTAAATTAAGAGCAGAAAGGGTGCTTTTTGTATGAGGATAGAAGAGGGATTAGAAGGAATGGTGAAGAAAGGCTGAGATGTTTAACGTTTCTTCAAACCGAAATGGTCGAGGAACATCAAGAAGGTAATGTTAAGAAGACACATTCAGAGGTGCAAATAGGCTAAACAGGCTAAAACTTCATTCTGCATTTTTTTCTTTCAGTTTTTATTCCATCTCCTCACCATCCTTTTAGAGAGCAAGAAAATATTTAGCAGGAAAAACTTACTTCTCTTTTTAATTCGTCATTAAGGCACTTTTCCCAGATACTATTTCCTCCCTGAACCAAATGACTCAAGCTTTAACTGATAATGATGGAACAACATCTGCAAAGGTTATGAGTGGACATAAGAAGGAGATTCTGTGCAACAGGGAGATCATGTACATAATCCTTTTTAAAAGGAGAATTGGAAGCATTATAGCATGAAATGAAGGAACAGCAGGGAAAGGGGCACGTTTTTGCCCAGGGCTGCGAGACAGGCAAAGCTGTGGAATATGCTATCAAATGTTTATGCCTCATATTGCAATAGATACTACTTCCTGTGGTTTGCTGTCTTTCTTTTAATGTGATGCACCAAAATTCTAATAACCCCCCCCCTTGCTGAACTCTTTCCCAACAGCTATAGAATCTGAGATGAAAAAAGGCTTTTCTGAAAGATAAACTGGAGGAACAGGCTGTGATGAATTCTTTCTCTCTTCTGTTTAGAAAAGGGAAATATTGTCGTTTTCCATAGGAACAGTGGAAATCTGATGATTATTTTCTTTTTGGTTGCATCTGCCCACTATGACCACCTAAGGATCCAACGGTACTTGCCAGCCTTAGGTCACTGGAGGCTGCTATCTTAGTAGGAATAGGAGGAAGAAAAGAACAACAAAAGTCTCCTGCTCAGTAGCATTTGATTAAGTTCTCTGCACAGCAGTTTTGTTCTCTAAAGCAGTGCTGGGCTTTAGGAGGAAGGGAAATGAATCTGTGAGCAGATTGTGTTGTCTGTGATGCCTTATTGTCACTTCAAGAGTTGGCAGGATCCTTGATTGCTGCGTGACACTGTGTGTGAAGTAGACTTTGCAGAGACCTGCCCTTGTATTCAGCTGCATTTCTTCTTTTTCCCTGTGATATGTTTTTGTTGTTCAGTATTTTGTGAATTTCAAGAGTGATGAAGGTTCCATCCGCTGTACTAACACAAACCATTTCCAATAACGGACAAAGTGTATGTCTATCTATGACCATGACATTACAAAAGCTTTTTAACTTCTATTTCTTAGAAATAATAGTCTTTGAAATAAGGTTACTAGTTGAAATACTATGAAGTGAACATATCTTCCTGCTTCATTTTGCACTGGGACATGCACTGTATCTAACTGACTTTAATGAGTTACTTCAGTTCCGGGTAGTGCTGTATAAGTCAAAGCACAGGGAGTAACAGGAGGAGGGCAGTGAGCCACCTGGCAGTAGAGTTCTCTCCTTTTTGGACACGGCTTCTTGTTAACCCAACCCAAATCAAAGTCAGCCTCTTGGTATATATGGATCCAGAGCTTGCATGTTTAGGGCTAGTGTCATATCTTTCATGCTATCCCATGTTATTAGACAGTAATGTAGTTGCTGTTTATTGACTCAGAATTTTCAAGGCATTTGAGAAAACTACTTCTTACTGATTGGAGTTTTCCTCCTAATTCTTTGTGTCTTTTCCATTCACTGTCTTCATGTATATTCACCTTTCTTGGGTTACCTACTTTGGAAGAGAGTTCCTATTGTGATCACCTGTAATTTCCTTCTCTCTTCTCTGTGTTATTTTAGCCTTAGAAGCAGAGAACTGCAGTGGACAGAGTGTTCCCAGTCAGGAGAGCACAGGCCACATCTCTGGGCTTTTTGTCTGGTCCCTATGGCAGTTCATGCATTTCCTCCCCACGGTCTCCTAAGGTTATCCTTTCTCTGCTCTTAGTGACATGTAAACACTGTTTAAGCTCTTTGAGCTCTCTAAACGAAAGGTGCAATGTATTGTTAATCCTCAAACACCGTTTAAAAGTCACGAAAAGTGAGTGAATTTGATCCAGATCTTACATTATTTATCTGATTGAAACACTCTCCTGTTGTTCCTGTGATTTGCCAATCACTCCAGTAACAA